ACGTTGGTTTTTATGATACTAGTTTCCGGACACTAACAGTTGTGCAACTACTTTTTATCGCCATACATTCTGTTGTCAGATTAGAGATTGAGAGGATAGCTTTCACTTAAGATCACAATCAGTTTTAGTGGAACTTTCCTAAGTGGTAGTTCCTTTTCAGACAGGAGTTATACTAAATTAATACAAGTGCAGCTCTTTTAAACAACCTTTTTACGGAACGCGTCAACATTATCAATTTATGAATTTACAAGAATTTTTCTCAGAACCTAAACATTGAAAAAATGCAAAAGAAGGAATATTTTTAAACACGAGATTTTTTTGTTTAATTTTTTTTATTTAGCTACGTTCAAAATCTAGCAAAGCATTGCCGACGGGGAAAATAAAAAATTTTATTATAGTATGGCTCAGAGCTTTTTTACTTTGGCTAAATTCTTTGGCAATAGATAGCTAGAGTTTTTCCATTTCCACGCGGATGTAACAAAAAAATTTAAAATTTAAAAAGAGATTTGCACATGAATATTTAGAATCATCTTCACAATGAATAAAACAATTTAAGGGAGTAATAGTAATCCAAAGATCGTATTACTATAAACCATCCTCTAAAACAGTGATACCACTAGAATTCAAAGTTCTACGTGCTAATTTACGAAGCGATGATATAACACCAGAAAGTTAGTTAAAAAAACAATTTTCAGCACTAATCTAACCAAGTGATGAAAACTAAATTCGATTTAATCGTAAATAAAATTAGAAACTTTCTTTCGCCAATGTCATGAGTAGGGAATATACCAGAGATGTACACCTGATATATCGATTCTAAACTAGAAAACTCGTAGAGAGGTATTTATTTTCTTGTTTTTTATTTTTTTTAGAAAACGATTACACCATTCCTATATAAAATTGTTTAAAAAGATAAAAATAGGATTCCAGCTTGTTGCACGAAAAATCCTATCTTTTTAAAGTGAAGGTTTTCTGTAGGGATTCGATTAAATCGGTATTCCAAACCATAGAATTTCTTATCATCAATAATAGAACCAATTATCTGCTGTGTTCATTCTTCTTTTCCTTGCTTCCAACCAAGTCGCAGATTTTTTCAATGACAGATAAAGGTTTTCGTTCATTTATAATCACAAAGAACTTGTTCATTTCGTTTTTAATTTTTTTTTCCTTAGCTCTATTTTTTGCTCGATAATGCAATTTAACGAAAAAGTTTACGTAAAACTCGATCGAAAATACTTTGGTTTGAAATCAGTGTAATTTTGAAAATTAAACTAAAAGACGAAATGAAAAAGAAATGCTTTTATAATAATTGAATCAAATAAAATGAAAAAAAGTGTGAATATTTTAATTTTTAGTCTAGCTATATGCAGCTAGATTTTATTCAAGCAATGTTCATGTTAAAGAGTAAGAAAATTGTGAAGAAAAAAATTATTTAATCAAAACCTTAGGATTTCTTGGCAATTTATAACACAAGCAATTTTCAACCGAAGGAAAAGGAAAGACGAAGCATAAAATAGGTCGGTATATTGGTGAAAACTTGGGGAAGCAGGACATCCCGTGCGAAATTGAAAATTAAAATTTATGATTGCGTTAAGCCCCTTAGACATTGCTTGAGGAAAAGTTACGAGGATGGGACATGAGAAAGTTTTTAAACAATACAAAAGAGATTGTAGTTTAATAAATTATTCAATCGAAAGGTTTTTCCCTTTTTCACCCAGATTTTGCATTAGAAAAGCGAAATTTTGATTTCAAAATTGCAAACCGCAAACCAAAAGTTTAATTTTAAACTTAATGACATTTTTTTAATTACATCTATTTTTCCATACATTGAAAATTCTTGAAAATTAAAAAGGACAATTTTGATAAAATATAAGCATTATCAGAATATCTAAAGGAAATGTGTACGATGCACTAGGAAATTTTAAGGTGAAGAAATATTTCGAAAGGCGGAAGCAATGCCGTCACGCAGCACATCGAGGGTTTCGTTCGAGCTCAATCGAACGCGAAGAGAGAATTAAAGCTGAAACAGGTTTCAAGCAATTTAAACCTCATGCATGTTAAGCACATTTCGCACTAGACCGAATGACAGTGTGCACTTTCATAATCTCCTCCAACGACCAACGATGAATAAATTAGTCTTCGCTATATTGCTCCAAACAACTTTAAGTGCTTAAAATTAACTTAATATTTTTTGTGCATACATATTACTCTCTTAAACAAACCAAAAGAAACTAAAATATTATCTCTCTTAAAACTGATATGGGTAGAGGGAAAATAATTCTGCAAATTTTATCTTAATTTAAACTATATACCTTTGTAGAAGCTGATTGCTTGTCGTTAATTTAAAATTACAGGGGGTTTATTCTGTAACTTTTCCACATCCCCTCTCACATCCCACCTTCCACTTCCTACTTTCCACTCTCACTTTCCACCTTCCACTCCTACTTTTACTTTCCACTTACACTTCCAACCTTCCACTAACACTTCCCACATGCTACTTTCACTTCCCACCTTCCACTTCTACTTTTCCTTCACACATTCCTTTTTCACTTCCCACCTTGCACTTCCTACTTTCCACTCTCACTTTACATCTTCCACTCCAACTTTTACTTCCCACCTTCCACTAACACTTCCCACTTGCTACTTTCACTTGACACCTTCCACTAACACTTTTCACTTCCTTCTTTTACCTTCCACTCTTACTTTTACTTCCCACCTTCCACTTTTACTTTCACTTGAAACCTTCCACTAACACTTTCCACTTTCACTTCTAATTTTCCTTCACACATTCCTTTTTCACTTCCCACCTTGCACTTCCTACTTTCCACTCTAACTTTACATCTTCCACTCCAACTTTTACTTCCCACCTTCCACTAACACTTCCCACTTGCTACTTTCACTTGACACCTTCCACTAACACTTTCCACTTCTTACTTTCACCTTCCACTCTTACTTTTACTTCCCACCTTCCACTTTTACTTTCCACTTGCAACTTTCACTTGAAACCTTCCGCTAACACTTTACACTTCCTACTTTCACTTCCCACCTTTCACTTCCTGCTTTCCACTCTCACTTTACATCTTCCACTCTTACTTTTACTTCCCACCTTTCATTAACACTTTCACTTTTACCTTCGACTTTCACTTGACACCTTCCACTAACACTTTCCACTTTTACTTCCATTTGCTACTTTCACTTTCCACCTTCCACTAACACTTTCCACTTTTACTTTCCATTTGCTACTTTCACTTGCCACCTTCCACTAACACTTTCCACTTCCTACATTTACTTCCCACCTTTCACTTTTCACTGTCACTTTCACTTTCCCACCATCAGGAGTGGGAAGTGAGAGTGGGAATGGAAAGTGGAAGGTGGGAAGTGAAAGTGGGAGTGGAAGGTGGGATGTAAAATTGGAAAGTGTAAGTGGAAGGTAGGAAGTGAAAGTAGCAAGTGGAAAGTGGGAATTGGGAGTGTAAAGTTAAAAAGTTACAGAATCGACCCCCAGGATGCTGCTTGCTTGAAATTAAGAGTATTACATAGAGGCAGCTCGGATTTTCTTCGTTAGGCAAAGGCGCACCTGTGTCGTAACTAATTCTAAATTTTTGTTTTCTGGTCGCAAAAATTTTCAAAGTGCTTCTTGCTTGGCGAGGAAAAAAGTTTTATTCTGATTGGTATGTATGCACTTGCAGTGAATGTATCTAAAAATCAAGTTACCTGGAGCCTCGCCTAGAGGTGCGCCTCGAAAAAGCTTTTTGGCTCCATTCGATTAAGAAATTCTGAGAGAAATTCTCGAGTTTAAAAATTTCTATTTACAATAAATCCATGTCTTATTTTCGCTCCAGTAAATTTTATAAACTTCTTGAGCTTCGATTTAACTGAATTAAAATATAGTGGCTTAAGGTATTACACCGGTAGCAATCGTAGTTAAAAGTTTAACGCTCTCTCTACGCTTGTCAAGTGCAATATTTTCTTCTGCCCAGCTCTTTAAATTTCTTTCCAGCCTGTACAGACTAATTCACTCTTGTACGTATATTAACTCTCCATGGAGGAATTTCAAGATTTGTCAACGCTGCTGCTTCGTTTACTTCCCAACTTATTTATCTTAAAGTCTGATAAATTTAAATTTTAAAATAGTTCATATATAGTCGGAAATTTTCACCGTAAAATATTTCGGATAAAATAATATCTGTAAAAAATGATTAATTATAAGTATTTCCTTTTTTTTTGTCACACATATAATGAAACTTTGTTTTCTCTATGAGAATTTTTTGTTCCTTATCTCAATGAGGAAGAAAAATATTATTCATAAAAGTGAATGCAAGTTGAACTTGTTTTATTTATTTATATTATGCCTTTGTTAATATAATTACCTTCACCTCTACTCAAGCCTGTTGTCTGATTAATCAATATTCACAAACATGCCTCATCCTGTCCACTTTAATTATCTTCAAGTCTCCAATTCTCCACTACAAAGGGTTCTATTCTCCACAATTTTTTTTTCTCTCTCTCTCTCTCTTATTTTTTCTACAAACAAAAATCCATCATTTTTCTGTTTTTTTAAATTAACATTCTTATGTATAAAATTATCAAAAGACCATTTTATTCCAAATTAGATCGATTCTCAATAAATTCGATTTTATTTCACTCTGAAAAGCTCTTTTCAATATCAACGAAAATTGAATGAAGCACTTTTTTCTTGACTTTCTGAAAAATGAAAAGTAGAAAAGAAATAAATGATCTAACAGATAAGATTTTCTAACCAGTATTTCAATATGTCTGAAAACTTTGGCATTTTTCAATTTTAAAAATGGAGTTGAAAACTAGTGCCGAAGCTTAAAGCATGTATTACATTTCAATATAGACAAAAATATAGCAACAGAGTTCGTTTTACTCTACTGAGGGTTTTATATATCTATGTATCTATACATGGAAACTGTCCAGAATACAAAATCAATATTCCGATGTTTTTAACGTTGAAATATTTTTTTTCCTGCTTACAGATCCCTGTTTCAAAATGAGTGTTGAAGTTAATTTCCGATGACAAATTAAGAACTATCGTGAGATCGGGAGGAAAAAAATGCAAGGAACAAATTGTCCTTCGAATTCGAAGGAACATCAACGAGTGTGTTTAGTGTTTATAAGAACAGAATTGATTATTTTCTAAGTCAATTCAGTGAATTGTCAGAGAAAAAAAAACTAGTTTGTTGACAAAGTTAATAAGTGAAATAATGTGTAGAAAGGAGCAAACGGAAGTGGAAAAGAAGAAAACGAAAGGAGAAGAAACAAGAGAAGAACAAAAGAAATACGATTTTTAAAGGCACTTGTCAGAAGTTAATTTCGATATGGAGCTATTCAAATGCAACGAACTCATAAACTGCTTTAACTTTGACAAGCACAAAGTACCTGCACTCGATACCAAAGCGAAATTCATGTTCCTCCTCGGTCCACAAGGACGTATTTAATTTCCCTTTGATTCAAAGCACGTTTAGACCCTCGCGATGAATCGCCTTAAGAAACGTCAGGAGATAGTTGAGTAGATTGTATTAGTTTAGGAGACAACAAGGAAGTCTTAGAGTCATTCGACTCGCAAATAACTTAACGAACAAAGTCAACGGAATTGAGTATAAGATCACAACATGGACTCGACAAAATTAGGTGGGCCCACTGCGGAAAGTCCACGATCACACTCGCCAGCACTTGCGAGTTACGTGATGACAACAGATGGGAATATAGATTACATTATTAGCGATTACATGGAGAGACTTGGAACGCGCCTTAATATACTTGAGACTGAGCTGAAATACGCCTGGAGAGCACTTGACCTATTGAGTCAAGAATATATTAAGATGTGGCAGCGTTTGGAGAAATTGGAGGGATTGCTTTGTGAACAGCAAACCGTCATCAGTCAACTGATTGAGTTTTATACAAGTGGCGGAAATCACGAGCGAGTTAACACCGTTGAGGAAACATTGGTCGAACAGCAAAGATCCGAGAGTGAATTGGATGCTATTGAAAAGAGTCTTGGTGCGGCAATTGGCATTGAAGAGACAAGTGTACTGAGGGAGAAATTAGCACAACAGGAGCTTGCGAGAATGAGAAATTTGGCTCAGGATAATGCTGTGGCTGCTGTTGTTAATGACATACAAAGGAATGTGAGGAATTTGGAAGCTTTGGAAACACTGGAGGAGGAGGAGGGAAATATGCCGGATGAGGCCTTCTACAGGAGTCTGAATAATGCCTATAGGGAAGATCTTATTTGTGGTGATGTGTCAAGACCAACGTCGCAATTGGGGATGATTTGGGAAGAGGCGGAGGAAGTGGAGGACAGTAATGGCAAAAAGGAAACTGAAACGGTAACGTTTGAGAAGACGCCACCAGTGCAAGAAAAAGTGGAGGAAGAGCCTAAGCAGCAGTCTAAAGAGGAAATACAGCAAATGACAGTGAAGAAGGAAGATGAACTCGAAGAGGAGGAAGAGGAAGAAGAAGAACCTGAAGATGGAGAAATTTTCAGTGCAGCTGACTATAAGACTTATCGGGGCAATGCACCCTGTGTAAGCGAACAGGATCTCGCTCAAGTATCAAGACTAAGTACTATAGATAAAGTAGCTCTTGAGAAACTTCAGGAATTGGATAGACTGGAGACAAAACTCCAGAAGGACTCACAAAATATCATAGAACTTCAGTCTATGTTGAGAGACTCGCCCAAACGGCAATATGCAACAGAGACTGAGGCTAAATTGGCAGAAGAAGCGAGTAGCATAGAAGAACAAATTAGAAAGATTTATGCCGAACCAGACGTGGATAGTTGGATGTACTCCAAAAGTCCCGGATCTACCGGAAGATCAATATCCCGAGTGAGTACAGACAGTGGACTGACAACTGATGGGGATTTTACTACCAGATCACTGTCACCAAGACTGTCAAGAAGTAACATGGATTCCATGTCTTCAACCTACACTCCTCCTAGGCTCGCCTATTCCTCAACTTTACTGGAAAAAAGCCCAGAACCCGTTATTCAGTTATCAATCGATGTTGGTAGTTTCGCCAAAGGCTATGCCGAGAACAAAGAACTGACCGATTTAATGGTGGAAAGTTTTGCAACCGTTACATGTGCTTCGCCTACGATTTACAATACAACGACAGATAAGGTTGCGTCGCCTACACCTTCAGCTGGAAGTTTACATAGCACTCAAAGTATTCGCAGTGTCAGGACACGACAAGAATTCTTTGGAAGTGCAGCAAGATTAAATTTAGACTTTCCAGAAAGTAGAACACCGCCGAGTCCTTCGCCAAGTTCGCCACCACCACCAGCACCTCACGATCCATCGGACAATTTTCACATTTCCACTGCTGATCAAAAGGATATGGACATTAAACGTGCACCGAGTCCAGGTTTCTTGTCAAAGTCTGATAAAATCGTCTTGGAACAGGGTAGACTGAGTCCACGTGCTCCACACTCGCCTAAATCGCCAAGAGTATCGCCAAAGCATCTTTCAAAACCAACGTGTAACAATAATATCGTAGCTGCTAAATCGGATTCCGGTCTTTCATCAATGAGTGGCTGGAGTAGTCTCGACAAATCACCAAGTTCACCGAAAAATTCGATCACAAAAATGCTGACATCATATTCCCTAGACCATCCTCGTTCGCAACTCGCTCAGACCTCGCAGTCAATAAGAACGGCAAGTCCAATTGCTACTATTCAGGAAGCAAAAAGCTCAGTTATCACTCAGGAACCTTTGTACGATACTCCAGAAGGTAGAGACGCTTTCGCCAATACAAATGCGAGCCAATACAATGCAGTTGTCAATCATATATCATCTCTTTCATCAGTCAAGTCACCAGCAATTCAGGATGAATACAATTTTGTACCTCCGCCAGCGCCCGGTGTGTCCGCCACGTGTCAAAGTCCCAAGAAACGAAACCGGCAACTTAGCTTCGACGATATTCCAATTGAAAGTACTGTCGACTTTCTCTACCGATCAGAGCAACCTGCAATATATTCCGTTGCAGGAAGCAATCGAACCCAAATGTCCAATGTCTACACCAGTAGTTCCGGTACTTATGGTTCAAGAACCACATCCACTGGTTACTATCCAGACGCAATGGATCAGTTCGTTAATTACGATGGCTACAGTGCATCTCACTATGGTGACACAACCTTATCATCAAGTCAAACCGGAAAAATCCCAATGCGCGCTCTATCATACGGCGATTCAATTTCAAATCACGAAGGTTATAAGGCTGCAATGTACAGAAATAGATTTCCAACCGGAAATATCACGGACGCACTTTCCTATTATCCAACAAGTGCAAATCTTCCACGAACTGAAACCGAGTCTTCCTGGCTCAACTCGATAGAGAGCCATATACCTCACGATTCAACTTCCTCGAGTATCAGATCCATGACATCAGAGGGAAGCTATTCGCAGAGTCCATACACCGACAGACGGTATCCCCAACCCCCGGCCTATCAATCTCATCAATATCATCACACCTATTCAAACCAGAGTTACGCACACGCCTATCAACAACAATATCAACAGTATCAAATGTCTCAACGACTCGCTGCTGCGGAAAACGAACGGCAATGGCCGAGAGAGCATCATTACACTCAGGAAAATGAAACCAAATCAACAATCGATCCGTCCCAACAACAAGGAGAATTCTATGACGCATCAAGTGTCATAGTCTCACAATCAGGATACATCAGTATTTCCGCGGACATTAAAGATCACGAATTAGAGAACAATAAAAATGCTAAAAAAATAAGAAGAGGGTCATCACTAAAAAATGCCATGACCTCTATGAGCAATTGGCTTCCCGACCTTCACCTACCCAGAAGACATAGAAGTCAGTCTTTGCCTGGTGGTGTCCGACGGGAGGATATTGACAGAACCCAACCAAATAGATTAGAAATGCAAAGAGGTGGAAATAGATATCAAGGGGCGAGGAAGAAGAAGAAAAATTTAGTTTCCACTGTTTCGGGAATACTGCAAAAAGCAAAACGAAGAAATCATCAATCTTCACAATCACTCTCCGATCCAGAACAATCGGAAACAGAATGGAGCAGTGGTAGACAGAGTGGTTTATCCGAAGATGAAGACAGTGTCATGTCCGATGCAAATCAAGAACCACCATTCTTCGCAAAGGTTAAATCCAGTAGTATGAAGAAGAAATCTCCCCAGCAGCAAATTATCGGTCAGCAACAAATTCACAATCAACAACAAATTTTGGCTCAACAACAAATGCACGGTCATCAACAAATTCCCATTCATCAGCAAACGCAACAATTGATTCACCAACAGGCGCCTCTCACACCACAACAGAGGGAATATCTACTTCAGGAACAGCAACGTTTGCAGGAGCAACAGCAGGCTCTGCAGCAACAAATTCAACAACATCAAGAGCAACTGCAAAAGAAAGTAGCCGAGGAAAATTGGCTAAAGGAGAAGGAGAACGAGCAAAGAAAATCCGAATTAAGCGAAACTGAACTCTCGGATCAGGTTTGCGGAGTAGAGGAAGAAGCTTCTGGCAAAAGCACAGGTTCGGGATCAGGTGGCTCTACTATATTTCCAACTGTTGGGGATATAAAAAAGTCCACCGGAAGTTCGGACGAAGCACCTAACGAAAAGGCACCCAAATTACCACCACTAATGGGTGGAGCCAGTATGGAATTTGCTGTTTCTCGTGCTTTGGGTAAATATCGCCAGAGACAATCCTCGACAGTATCCGATGAACAGGGAAGCAATGACGATGGTAGTATTGACAAAAAGTCCGACGAGGGCAATCAACTTTCAATTGACGCCAGTTTCGAGTATCAAGAGGACGTTTCAGAGAAAAGTGAAAAATCCAGTGGTACCAAAGGTCCAGAATTGGTGACTAGCATTTCTGAGGAAGCACCACCTTCAGAGGGCAGTCCATCAACATCCAGCACAAGGGGTTACGGTCCACAGATTGGTTGCACTCGTTTTTTACCCAGACATCAACAATCATTGGAAATTCCTTGGGCTGGCTCACGAAGTGGTGAAGGTGATGAGGACAATAGAAGTACACACTCATACAGAAGTACATCTCGCGTCTCATCACGACGTCAAAGTACAGAGGATTCAATTGATTCCGAAGACGAATGGTACTGTTATGAATTGAGAAAACTCGAGGAACTAGAAAGACAAACACAAGTTGAAATTGAAATGGGTCAAGTTCTCGTCGAAGTACCCGAGGAAAATGAACCCTTCCAACCAGGCGAGGAAGTCAAAGAACGTATGTCATTTGTTCTTCGCGAATTGAAATTGAAGGCAAAACCCAAAGAAGATGAACATGAGGAAAAGCGAGATTTAATGAAGGAGGAGACACAAACAATTAAAATGAATGGAACAGTCGTGGGACGAGAAAGACGATTGGAGAATGGAGAGAGATATCGTGATGGTAAACCATTCCCGAAGAAGAAGCCAGTCGAGAGTGTTGAATCTGTTTTTGCGCGAGTCACCGATTATCATACATGGGCGCATGAGGAGGCAGCAAAGAGGGATAAGAAAACAATACCAATGGAGGAGGGTTCATCGGGTGAAACATCAGGACCGGACAGTCCGGTTCATTCAATGGACGAGGAAGAGGACGAGCTGCACAAGGATCTCGATGAACATCAGTCAAGAAGGAGTTCCAATGGATCGACACTCCGTCACAGTGAGAAGCATCTGCAGGGCTCCGATTCTCTGTCGCGTGAAGGTAGCGTAAGTGTACCACCTAGCGAAGTTTCAGTCAGTATCCCTGGTGGTTGGGATTCTGAAAGCACTGTCCTTGAAGGCGATCGAGATGGTGCCGGTAGCGCTGAAACTGGTACCACGGCCACGCTGAGTCTTCCAAAAATCAAAATTGACTCATCGTCCTGCGGCAGTTCGGACACAACATTGAAGGAGGGGCAAATCAGTCCTGGTCCACCGGGATCAAAGTGGAAGCTGCTCAAGGCACTCAAGGAGAGGAAGGCTGAAGAAAAACTCAAGGAGGTTGAAGACGCCTCGAAGGAGGCTGCTGCCCTTACTCAAGGGCCCACGGCAGTGAGTATCATGATCAAGTGAGGACACGATTCCTTTTGTAAAGTATATTCGAGATTTGGCGGATGGGTCAAATAATTTCTTCCCTCAAAATTATTACTATTAATTTTAACCACGTTCTGCAGCAACCACTTCCTGAATCTTCGGCTGGCGTCTTCTCCATTTCTTTCTTCCCCTAACATTTACCGAAGATACACGAAGTTGCAATTACCGTAAAATTACAATTTCTCATAATTTTCTAACGGATATCCGTGTTATATGATCGATGACAGTAATATTCATTCATCATCGCCAACCAGTGGTAAAATCCATAAAAAAAATTAAGAATAAAATATCTAAAATTATTCCACAATAAAAAATCAAGTACGTCACCTTTCTCTTAGAGCAGCAAAATTACGTATGCGAATTGTCACCCCAAACCATTGGAGAGACAACGAGTCATCGAGTTCTCTGGTTAAATTATCAGCACTGCTGGGTTTGTCTGTTGATAGTAGTTTCGTTCCTTGTCTCATCGATTCCGAACCTATCGATTTTAGGTCTCAACGGAGTAACCCCGGAAAAGTAATAATAATTAACAGAAATTAGTAAACCAGTCAATTGGAAATTAAACAGTAACGAATTAATTAATTCAAAAAAATTTCCCTAATCGTTTTCTATAATTTTTTTTTAGATTTTCCCACTGGTTTAGATTTTTAATTTAGCAAAGAATTGATATTTTTTTTCAATTGCTGAAGAACGATTTAGATTAAAAAAAAATTCTTCAAACTCGAATACACTATATATAAAAAATTATTAATCTAAATATTGTGCAAAAAGAGTCATTCAAAGAGTCAATATTTCACGAGCGAGCGAGCGTAAATTATATGAAAAAGAGTATGAATACTGGCCGTTAATGAAACTAGATGCCGTCTATAATACCAACGTCAAATTGAAAGAAAAATACTAGTCAATTTAAATTGGAACACCAGAGAGAATTTTTTTAGGGTAAGAGCCTAAAAAAATTTTTAAAAATCAATAAATCTAAATGTTTGAACAACGATCATCAATGAGAATTTACAACCAAAAAATTGCGAATATAATATATAAATATTAGAATAATTAATGATCGCTGAAAGCTCATTGCGTATATTTGTATAACAAGTACGCTAGAATTATAATTTAGATGGTGCTTTGCAAATTAAGACGCTTTGAGGTAGCATTTAATGTACGTTCACTTAATTATTGCTACGTGATCGACGAAGTAATAGAATTTACAAACACATCAAACTAATTTCTCTCATCCTATAAATAAAACGGGAATAAATAAAAAAAAATTTACTATTAAATTTGAAAAAATTAAAAATCTAAGCAATATCAGTAGAATTTTTTACTCTTTTGATACAATTCATTTTAGACTCTAGAATATTTCCAAATATTACTTCGTCAGTCAAAAAAAAAAAAATTGATAACCAGAGAGTAAAGAGTGAGCAAAATTTATGAATGTAAGCGAATAATCATCTTGAAGAGATTTTTTGTCATTTACATCGAAATCACTTGTTCGCTATACAAACACACATCCACATATCATTAAAGTCCCATTTATAAATAGTAAACATTTTAATCGTACTCTATAAACAAATAATGCACAACATTCACAAAAATCACAATTCATATCAATTCGTCACATTCATTCTCTTAAAAATAAACGAAAACAAAATTTCGCACGAGAAATTAAATGAAATTTGATATCAAATTGAAAAAAAAACATTAATAAGCGGAAAAATATAAACAAAAATTATTAATGACGTAAAAATTTATAAATTATTCATAAATAAATTAATCAAATAAGCGATAATAATTATATTGCTATAAAAATAATTGATCTATCGTTTTAAGGATTGGAGTAACTATAAATAATGATATTAATAATAATAATAACTATAATAATAAATAAATACAAAAAAAAACAATGCAGACCAATTCGCGGAGCTTTAATACTTTTTGCACGAGTTTCAAAAACTTGAAAATAATTTAATAATATATAGTCCTTCCTATGTAACAATTTCTATACAATTATACATATAAAAGTTATTAAGAGATAAGCTTAAAATTTAAGAAGAAAACTATTAAAAAACTATCGTAAACTTAGTTTTCTATTAATTTGAATTATTCAACTCTACAAATTAGTCTTCCGTTTAGGATTGCAGGAGTTAATTAATTTCCCTTAGTTAATTATTTCGGTACGAGAAAATATTTTTGCGGTATTGTCAAAGGCAATGAAAGAAATGGTAGTGAAACTGCGAGAAAAATTTTCTCGTGGTAATTTGAATTGTTTTGATTAAAAAATGGAAAGTATCCGATTGGCTTTTTTTAAACTAAATGGCATTTAATTGTAGTTTATTTTTTGAATTTAATTAATAATGTGTAAAAATAATAACTAAATTATATAATAAATTCTTGTTTCGATTGTAAAAACTCGCTTCTTCCATTTTAATATCTCTATATTTTATTTTTATAAATAAAAGATGTTTTTTTTTTTATTTTTATAATTTTACGCGGAAAGTAATTTTTAATGATTAATTAAGAATTATTTTGAATAACGTAGTTAGAATTGAGTTACGGTGTCACTTTAGCTCCAAATGAGAAAGAAAGAGAAAGTGAGTGTATCGACTGCGCAATAAATGCGTCGCGTAGTTCTCTCCCTACTATTCGCGCTTTCCCCCACCACTCGTAAAGAATCATATATAACTCGCTCTAGTCTTGTCTTTCATCAGATCGTCTTCCACCAGCTCACGACGCGCTTCTCGAAATATCCGCAAATTTGAATTAGCCAATCGGACAATTTTTCCCCTAAAACATTATGCTCCGTATAAAAAAAATCTTAATCATTTCTCTGTCTTTGACTACCAAAAATAATTTTCAACTGAACGAATAATTATCGAAACTAATACAATTTTTATTGTATTATTTCATAGAAAATTTGTTATGAGAAAAGGCGTGAATTCGTATATGCAAATTTTTTTTTTATTGTTTCATGGTAGGTTTAAACAAGTTTTAACCAAATAAAACATTTTAGAACAGTTTTTAAACAATTTAGAAAGTACTGCAAAACAAGTACTTTAATGAACCTATCGATCGTCGTTTCGGTGAGTGAATTTGACAAAAAAAAAATATAATTGTTACGAAAAAGTGAAATAGTCCTCATTCGCTAATAGAAAAATAAATTATTTCCTAGCATAAACAAAAAGAAAATATTATCCAGAATAGAAAAGTCTTTCAATAAAAAAGTAAATCTATTTATATCTCATATCTCTCTAGGAATCATTTATATATTATCACGATATACAAGAAAAAATCTCGAATTGATTAAACAATGCAAATCTGAAATGCTTCCGTATATTCAAAGACTTGCAAGCGTAGTATTCTAATTAAGATATAGGGTAATTAGCGCATTTTGTCATTACAAAAATTATTGTTTAACTTTTGCAACTAGTATTCATTAAAGTAAAGGGAAAGCTTTTTAAAAATAAACTTCAATATTTTCTATTAATATTATTTTCCATTCTGAAAAGAAAATTATATAATAAATATTATTAAAAGTGAAACGATAAAGAAAAAAAAATAGTTATCCAGTAGGAGATAAATAGAAAATAATTATAATTCTAAAATAATGACACTACATTCTTTTTCCTTTGATAACTGCGAATTTAATTTGGAAACAAATATTTTAAAAAAGGGTTTTTTTTATTTAAGAAATTAAATATTAAAAATAATAAAGTGGAAATAAGAATTCGCGATAAAAAAAAGAATATGGATGCGATAAAATTTATGTGGAGCAGAAAAATATCTCTTGTGGCTTCTTTTTTTAATGGGAAACAAGTAAACGGACATAGAAAACCGTAAACGCCGTAAACGATATCCTTTGCAATATTGCCACTCTCACTATATCCTGTGTATAAGTAACCGAAAGAGTTGTATTTTTCTCTTTAATGAAATGATTATGAAAAAAAAAAATTTTTTTTTTTTGGAAACATTTTTTCATTATAAAAATTTTTCTTCTTTATTTATTTGATGGTAAATTTTTTTTCCATTTGAAGTTATATGAATATTTCTAAAGGTCAATAAAGTACGAAACAGTAATTGAGAAAATATTTCCCCTGCATTATCAAATTTCTGCTTTGAAGTGAAAAATAATATCTGTATATGTATTTTTTTATTTTTATGTTTGGTTTTTTATTTTTTTTTATTTTTTTAATTAGAGGAATATTTTAAATACTAGCGCTACTGTCTGAATTAAAAACCACAAGTATTTAAAAAAATCAGAATTAATTTCTTCCTCTTTTTCTATTTTCTAAGGCTGAATTATTTATTTTGTATTTCCAGTAATTTGATTATTTATGGAACTTAATTTTTCTCGCAATTAATTCTAGTTTTCGAGTCCCATGTGAAAACAATTTAGAGACATTTTTCTGGATTCGGATTCGGAAATTGAAATTAATGAAATTTCGAGACGGAAAAAATTTACGGGGAGGAAGAATCGAACCCCGGTCCTTGCTGTTGCGAGAGCAACAGAGTTACCACTGAGCTATATCACTTTCTAATTGAATTTGTAACTATAAGTTATAAATTCATAAATGGTTCTTCAAAAAATGATTTTTAGAGTCTTTTTTAAATTTCTACTTTAAAATTCGAATTCTTAATTTTATTTTTTGAGTAATAGTAAAGGAGTTGTTCTTTCTAATTTTTTTGTTTTTTGCTCGAATTTCCACTCGGATGTTTGAAAATATCTAGAACAATGTTTACCTGATTTCTGCAAAACTTTTTGGTCGATAAGTTCTGGAGATGAGCAACAATTTTGTTCGCAATTTTGAAACAGATGAAAACTGTTGTTGGAATATTGTTTCTATAGACATTCTGGATAATAGCAAAATTCCTACGGTGCAACCTTGGGGGGTTGTTGACGTCACGCAGCTTCCCGAGATTATCTCGAGGAGTCATTATCAAACCTACTTAGTGCAAACTGA